CATCCTCCTTTGGTGAATAAGGAGACGCCCGTTATAGCATCCTCTATAGTCTTAGATATGGACAAAAATGAAGTTATTGTACGACTTATTATACTTCTTGATGTCAGCACAAATTCAAGATATTATCTGTCGTTATTCCTCCTTTTATACATTAGTAAAAATGAATCCTTTGATTTTATATATCCATCTCGTCAGAGAGAAAGATTTGCTGCTCACATTATCCCTTAGTCGTCACCCCTACTCTTCCTCGGTTCTATGCTTTGGGAGTAGTGTATAATCTTCATCCCCTCAGCATCTTTCCCTGTTTCCTTTCCTCTCGTGTTGTCTCTTCTGTATGTATTAATTATGTACCTTTCCTCTTAGGCATTTCCACTTTGATCGTCAGGTTGATATGCCCACTGGCTTGTGGTGTATTTATATGGTGTTACATATATCATTCTTCTTTCTTTGAAGTAGATAATTTTCTCAAATATGTCAGTTGTATTCGTATATACATTCTATTATAGTCATCCGCTTCTATATGGTTGCTCCCCCCTTTCTAGATTAATGATTCTTTAATATCTTAGATGTATTCTTATTCTTATTCTCATTTTATCCCCTTCGCTCGTTTCATGTTATTATTATTCCTAACTCTCCACGAGAAACAGCTCGTTCTATATAGTACTATTCCTTTTATAATTTCCTATTCCTCCCTAATGTATAAGAATTTTAATCTTTCATTTCACATATTTGTTATATTTTAATAGTACCCCATCGATCTCGAGTTTTGTTAAGAGGAAGATAATACAGATTAAGGCAGTTGTGCAAATCTCCGGTATTCATTTCCTCTTAATAGTACCCGGATAATTATTGAATCTATATTACAATAATATTGAGAAGGAATAAGCACAGTTCACGACGTATTACTGTACATACAGTGTTACTTTGCCTATAAAAAGTTGTTCCTATATATAAGCAACTTTGGTATGTTGAAATCCCTCTTAGTGATACTATCCCTCAGTTTTTTATACAGCATGAATAGCCTTAGGTTTGGTATATGAGTATTCCTGGAATGGAATTATCTTACAAGCCAGTGTATTGGTGAAATGGTATGATCTTTACAATTGCCGTCTTTCTCAAGCAATTCGACTCTCCAAACCTCTTTATTATGTTAAACAATTTTCCTCCTTAAACAGCACTGTTCTACATAGAATATTATCCTTGACAGAGGCTTATCCTCTGAACAGTTGTTGTAAGGACGATTCTTAGAGTTAATACAAATATACCGGAGGCATTTCGTATTTTCTATATATGTGTAACGCTTAGTGATTGGAACCCGTACAAGAATACCGCTGAATCCACTCTATTATCTCTTACTAAATATCTCCCCTTAAATTATGGTGCTCCCTGCTTTAAATCTTGACGACTCCACAATAGCGACTTCCTGGATTCTCCTACTGTTTATGTATTGCTACTCTAGAGAAATGTCTCCTTCTCACATACTTAATAATGGTCGCGAAAAATGTATTCCTTATATATTAGTCTTCCAAGGAAGTGTATATCTTTCGCCTCATTCTATTCCTCAAATAATAGCACTCGCTGGCCTAACTTTTCCATATAAACGTATTCCAGTCATAGTCATAGAACTCGCACGATTATGTTCCTGATATCATGGCTGCCCATCGAGATTTGTTATCTTCAGCCAATAATAGTCTCCAAATAAAAAAACTGTAAAATATCAACCTGGTGCAGAATAATATTCAGGACACATGTATACAGTACACAAAATAATACTGGAGGTATAGATGCATGGTTCATATAATAGGGATGTAGGCTAAGCGTACATTCCACAGGCCCGTAGTCCTGGGTGGAGCGATATTTTTAAATAATTGTACACATAAATCATTATTCCTCAATTAGTCACGTTCTCCAATTAGTGGTATCTGAATCGCTATTTTATGAGGCCTTCACATAGAAGCATTCCTGCGACACTGTACATTACAAACAACATTTCGGCTAGAATCCTTGCATTGTCCATATGCAAGTATTTCTGCCTCTATTGTATTACTCCACCAATAATACATTCGACACAGCTATATCGCTTACACTTGCGCGTAATTAATGGCTTGCTCTTTCCTTTAGAATGTAGCCCTCAATTCTTCAAATAATACTATTTCATAGAGATCTATATTCATCAATGACTGTTGTCGCCCAAAGAATATGAACCGAAAGTTGGAACACATAACCCGCAATTCACACACTTTTGCATTTTTGATGGGCATATTGTAGGAGAATCCCTATCCTTCAAAGGATTGTTCCTGAGAATATCCGTATCCCTCATACAATACTGTATTTTGAATATCATTGCACTCCACAAAATGCCACTTCTCATTTTCCCTGCTTTCTAGATATCAGATGAGTGCAGGGACAATAATTTCTTTCAAATTAATGTGCTACAAGCTCTCTGTTAGCTGTAAAATATTTTCCCTTCCTTACAATAACAGCATAAGCGGTAAACCTATACAATAATATTCCCGATACAGCTGTATTCTTTACCAGCATTGACACTTTAGAAACATGTGTACTCTTTATATCAGCATACCTTTCCTATAATTATACACCCAGTATATTCGTCTACTTCTTACAATGGTTTCATTTATACATTACCAACCTTGCCAGGGACGACGGATAAAGTTAACGATACGGCATTCATGTCCATACACTTTAAATCATAGTACTCCTGGTACAGTAGTATTCACTTTACAATGTTATGCTTAATATCTGAATACTCCGAAAACATCCGCATTGTTCACATAATAATACTCTGGGAATGTTACCAGTGGGAGCGAATAAGTAATTCTTAGACAATACTGCTTCACGCACATGTGTACAGTTGCTGTAAATGTATTCTCCTGATTTTGCAATTCCACACATTATACGGCTGTTAATATAATAATGCTCCGGGGATTGGTATGAATTTGCAACTATTGTATTTTCCCTATAATATAAGCCTAAACGGTAGGCCATGAAGTTCCAAGGTTTTCAATAACTCTCGTCTTTCGATATCCAGAATCCCACCACAATTGTGCACGCCAAGACATCACACTAGGGAGATATGAGTACGCTCACAGAACAGTTTTGCTGATTATCTGTAGTTCTTATAGAACTATGCTCTTAAAAGAATCATACTCTGCAGATATCAACATAGATCAACCATTAATACCCACATATAACAGTACTACGAGAATCTCCGCATTCGTCACCATGGGAAATGGGGACACATGTATACTTCCTTGTCATCTGCCCCTGTAGAATATGCATGCACTTCATAGAATATTACCCTACGAATAATGACACACCCGGAAAATCAGTATTTTTGACACAATAATACGGTTCACATTATAGTACCCTTGGCATAGGTCTACTGTTTAGACAAAATGATTGGAGGCCAACTATCGGAGCTGCAGATTCTCCGAAGTCATATCATCCAGCCATTATACCAACATGAAGACCCTTCAAATAATGTTATTCCAAGGACAGTTATCCTCATCAAGACAAACTACTCTATACATAACATCAGTGTTTTTCAAGTAATCGTGCATTTCACGAATCCATCAGTCCCACAGAAGTGTACCTCCCATACGGAGGTACTACGGCAATTTCCCCACGTTGCGTAACGGTTTGCCATCCTCATACGGCACAGAGCTAAGTCATGAATTCTGCACCCCTCTTTACTTTACTTAATAATACCGGCTTAACTTTGACACTCATCAAATGGCATGGTTTAAGCCATATCAGGCATCCTTAGATATGAGTACTATACATACATCTATAGTGTCCCCATAACAGTACTCCAAGTCATGAATACTCCTTCAGCAAATATCCTGTTCAAATGGGAGTATTATCCACACAACACTACTGTAAACAGGACGGTACTTCTTGTATTATCGTACTTTATCAAAGAATCGTACTCCAAGAGTAATCCTACTCATAAAGACAAGATACTTGACACATCATGCTCTCGTGTGTATAATAGCACTCCAAGTGATCCATATGAATCCACTACTAATACTTTCATAGAACAGTACTATGGGGACTTCCGGACTCCTCACCATTCAGAAAGTAGAGACAATGGTACTCCTTAAACAATAGTTATACTAGAATATCAATGGACTTCGACGAATAGGGCCATCCATGTGATGAAAGCATAAACCCTGAATCCTTCACATACACTAGTAAATACACCACTATACTCGTCACATAATAGTAGTACACTTATATCCGGGCACATTACTGGGAATGGAAATCCACACCAGTATTGTACAGATAATGGTATCCAGGGGGTCCCTTCATTCCTGAAATACCAATACCATAATGGTGTCAGTACTTTCCAGATATGAGTATTACGGACAACTCCGTACCTCTCATATACAGTAACATTGGAAGATATCCATATCTCTTATGCATATGTGCTCCTTGAATAATAGCACTGCAGTCACAAGGGAACTTTTCAGGTAACAGATTCCCAGAACATCCTCACATTTCACATAGTACTGCATTCGCAATGTTCGACGAGTCAACAGAATGGCATTTGCCATATATTCACGCCCCTCACATGGAATCACCACTGTTATATTGCTCCTCCTTAAGTAAATGTGTTCCGGGCGGTGTCCTTGGTTCAAAGGATTTACCTGTCTGTATTGTACTTGTATAATCTCTGAACGCCGATATAATACTACGGCTGGGACACCCTTATATTTCACAAGCATGAACAGTTGTGATATATTCCATCGGCTTACACACTTGTGTTCCTTGTATAATCCTACAACACGTATATGTGCCAACTTCATCCAATGGTGCCATTCATATAACAGTATTCTTGAGATACAAGTATACTGTAGAAATAATGATACCCTCTGCATGTCAGTAATATTTAAATCATAGTACTCGGAGCACAGTTGTACTTATCTCCATGATGCTATTTCTTCCATATCAGTACTTTGCACACATGAAGACTATTCCTATGGTAGTACTCTGGGAATATCAACAGTTGTAGTTAAAAAGTTATTTTCACACAAGCGTAATCTAAGGATATCTTTACACTTGATAAAATGGTGCTGCTCAAGTCTCGGAGATTCACGCACTGAACCCCCCTTAATATTATAATACTTCAAGGCTGCTACGAATTCCAGACAGTAGTATTCTAGGTATAATACAGGCCAAAATCCTGGGCCTTTAAGTTCGGATCCTTCAGATAGTTGTGCTTCAGGGACATCCATAATCTACACACAATTGTTGTTCCTAAATAACAGTACTACACACATATGAGTATACTCACAAATTACTGCTCCAGATTATCCATACTTCCCACGGACGTATTCTATACAGAATACAATGCACAACAAATATTACAACAGCTCAATCATTAGTACACTCATATAACGATACTACGACAACTTCTGTAATCATTACCATTGCAAATCCATACAAATCCGTACGGTGCACGGAATAATTCTCCTGAAATACCCATACACTGCACGGAATAATGCTGTCCAAAAAATGACACTCTTGGAATATCAATATTTCAAACACAGGGGTACCATTCACATTATAGTACTCCTAACACTATAGTACGATCAAAATAATGGTGTGGCTAACAAGTCTTAGGGGTTGTACAATCCGGTACTTCATATAATTCAGCCATTAAACTTAAATCCCGACACTTTACATAATGACACTTCAAGAACATGCATGCCCATCTGGGCACACCATTGCGTACAGTACCGTAATAATCCTCAAACGTCTGAACACTGAAGAGGTGCATGCGCTTGACACTATAGTACGCTTCATATAAGACTATTATGGGAATTGCTATCCCCTTTATGATGTAACTCTCCACAAGTCGTAAGATGCTATGTTATATATGCTATTGCTTTGAATACTTTATTTAATGGTACGGTCGTAAGTTTGTCACTCATCGAATATTAACGTACCAGGCATATTAACACTCTGGGGATATGAATACGGCATATATCTATTTACTTCTCATATAATGATATTTCGAGTCATCAATACTCCTATACAACTGTGTACTTTAAATGAAAGTATTATCGAGACAACAGTACTTTTAACATAACGGTATTACTTGTACATGCATACCTTCTGAAGAATACTAGCACACATATAGTTCTAATAATGCAGGCATGTAATCGCAGATAGAATGATACCTGTAGCAGAATAGGACTTTTGGAAGATCAATATTCAAGACAAGAAAATACTCTTAACATCATCACACTTTGCGAGTAACGATACTCTTTAAGTAATAGTATTACGGATGACCCCTAGCATTTGCGCAATTCAGCACGTGATGTAATGAACTCATTAAACTTATATCGAGACACTTGACATCCTGATAATCCAGGGATAAGCTTATTCCTCGAGATAAACCGCTCCACACATGACAGTAGTTTTCTTCAATTAACAGTGCAATTCGTACATTGACACACTGGACGCAAGGGTATCCTTCACATAAAAATAGTAGTGGACGTTGTGCACTCTTCATACTATAAGTCCCGGCAAATGGTAAAAGGTTACGCTACATATATCCTATGACTTGAAAACGTCACTTAATACCACTGTCTGGACTTCGCCACCATCCGAGTAGGAGTGTAGCGAGTACGACTGCTATCTCCAGATAGGAGTATTATACATACGTCTGCAGTATCCGTATATTGTTATTGCAAATCATGAATACTCAGTAAGAAAGTGTGCTATTTAAAGAAACGTATAATCCACACACCCATACTCTTAACATGACAATACTCCTGAGACACATGTACTCCTCCATAGCATACTATGTTGAATATAATGATATTGATTATGACAGAACTCCCGACATATAAGGGCGCAGCTTAGTAGGATAGAACTAGACGTCATGCGGATAGTTGATCTATTAGAATCTTCATATATCGGTACCATGAGAATCTCTGGATTTCGGACTATTGCCAATCCGGACACATTGGTACGGTTTAGACCAGAGTTGTAGTGTATTCATCGACTTCACATGAAACTACAACAAGAGCATCCAACCGCTGCACCGGCGTTAAAAGAGCACATCACTATTTTGCAAAGAAGAATACCACACGCAAGATTGTGTTGCTGATGTGACAAAACCATAAGCATCTTAGGATTCTGCGGATATGAATACTATAGACAAATAGGTATATTCCATGCAATAACCTTCCTGGATATCCAGACCCTAAACACAAGTGTGTTTTCCCAATAACAGTGTAATCAAGGTAAAGGCGCTATTCACCTAATACACCTCCATGAACATCATCCCTTCAAAAGGAATAAAATACCAGGGAAGAAAGTGCCATTATACACATGGGTATATAATTCCTGTTTTGTAATGTTACCACATCGGTATGCTTATGATATTTACAATTAACATATGTGGCCTTTTTCATAAGTAGCAGAAGAAATAGTATATCTTCATAATGGCTCCACAAAGAAAAAAAACAGAAGGCGATCAAAATATTACGGAGAGAAAAATTTTAATAAAAAAGAATGAAATAGAGTACAGCATATGAACAAGGAAGCAACCAGAGGGAAATCTTCTCAGTGATGCGGCCTGAGAGGACATTTCCAAAATAATGGAGGCAGGAGGAAATCTCAAGACTGACGCCAGAGGGACAAATACTGAAGATACTAGGAGAAGAAAACATCTTGATAAAGAGAATAAAAGAGACGACAGCATCTTATACCGTGCCACGCAGAAGGGGCATCTGCATACAAGGAATCAATCCCCGAGGAACATCTTAAGGGTTCCGCGAGGAAGGTACATCAACGGAAAACAACTGACACGGAAGAAAAAATCTTCACAATGAAGGCGGAGGAAGGATCATCCATATAAAACAGATAACACCGGACAATATATTCAGGCTGCCGTCGGGAAATAGCATCATAGGAATTCCGCGGAAAGCATGTATCTTCATAAAAGAGATGCCTCGCAAAAAAATCCCTTCGCAGTAAAATGATAAGAGGAAGAAGCATCTTTATAAAAAAGCCAAACAGAAAAATATCATCCATATAATGCAGTCACAGGAGTCTTCGTAAAACAACTGCCACAGAAGCCGAGATTCTCACAATGACGTGGGCCGAGGAACCTCCACACGGCCCCCGAGGAAAAAGATATCGTGAGGAAGGGAATGAACCAAAAACAAGAAACTTCATAGTGACCCGCAAGAAGGAGCCATCTCTATAAGAATGACGAGCGAGAGAATATATTAAAAGGAGGATGCGGTAAGATGAATCTTGCGAGAGAAAATGCCGAACAAGGAAAATACACTTGACAATGACGTACCATAAAAAGAGAAAACTCCATAAAAATGGAACAAGAAATATCATCCTGAAGCAAATGCTACACAAGGAAGAATCTTCATCTTGACGCAGAAAGAAGGATGTAACTATGCAAGAATGTAACAAGAAGAAGCATTATTATAGTAACATGTGAGATATAACCCTCCTTAAAAACATGGCAAATAGGAAAAAAACATCAAACTTCCGCAGCAAAATAGTACACATCACACTGGCGTGACCCCACACCTGCGCAATGACCTCCAGGTAGAGCATCATGAAAATGCAGGAAACAGAAGCATAATCATGAAGAAACTAAACAAGAAACATCGTGATAAAGATGCAGCAGTTAAATGCATCTTCATAAGAATACCAGGAAAAGTGGTATCTTCATAGCGCTGCTGCGTGAATTGTCATCATAAAAGAACCCTCCAAATGAATTTTCTCAAAGGAATGCCGCAGAGAGGTGTATCCTCATGGAGAAAATAAATAGAGACATATACATAATGAAGCGGAACCCAAGAGCCCCCGTGCGAGCGATATAAGACATGAGGACACCACCCCAGGAATTCATCCACATGAAGCTCTTTGGCAACGTTAAGCCACATGAAACCAAATTCGGGAAAGATTACGCCAAATGAAATTGTGTGCGCAAAAAATTACGCCACATGAAACCACGTTCCCGAAAATTACTCCACGTGAGAGGACGTTCGCGAAATTATCCGACGTGAGACGACGTCCGCGAAATTAAACAACAGGAAACGGTGCAGGAGGAATTACGCTACATGAAACCACGTTCGCGAAATTTGGCCACAGGAAAACGCATATATAGGAACAAGGCGCCATGAACAAATACTCTCATAAGGGTGCTGAGACATGGAAAAGAAAACTCATAGGAATGATACAACAAGAAGGCGCATACAAAGACGCTAGGCAGCATGGGGACTCATATACAAGCAAGTTGCCACATCAATTAACGGACTTATAGAAATGCAGAAACATGGAAAAACAGACAGCGATAATACAACATGTGGTTGGATCCTGGTGAAAATATCAAAACATCAAAAAACCCACTCACAAAGAGGATGGGCCATGAGAACGCATTCAAAAAAATAACGTAACTATAAAACAAGCCATATAAAAACAGACGCTCACCATTTCATTCTGTACCCATTCGTTCTACATATCTTTATTCCACTGCACTCATAAGACTCTCAACAGAAGTGCATGAGAACATCTAAACGCTATAGCGGCCCATTCAACTGTCTGCAGAATGCAATTGAAGTCTACACCTCAAATGAAACTTCTATCACAAAAGGAGTTCAGATTCAACAATCCATTACTCCCCTATATATATGAATAGCTGAGACACGTCATGAACAATCGTGTAATTTCTGGGGGAACATCTTTATGCGAAATGAACAATCTTCTAATTTGAATCAGCATATACTGGTAACTACGTTTTCCCTGTGCTTAGTGATGTTTAACCATCCGTACCATTCTTTTCCGTTCTGCTTGTGTTTCCGGGGAGCCCCTTCCTGTGTGACGCCAGAGGGGCATCATAATTAACCAGCTTAACACCTCTTATTTCTATGACTCATGAACTATTTCCACATATAAAAGGGAAAAAATATACATATATATATATCCATGGGTTTAGGTCCCATGGTAACATCTAAATAGGTCAACAAAACATAGGCTCTTATCAGTAAATCATAGCAATGTATAGAGGCATATAAATTGTTTGTATTCCAGCCGCTAACATCATCCTTATGCTTTCTTGAATGGATGCATCCTCAGTTCATACCCATAATCTAAATTCGCCTAACACCTCCAAATGAGGAATGCCGCATGTCCCTCTTTTAGTTTACTACAATTCATGATACGAGGAATGGAAAACCAGGTTATACTTATACATATC